TTTTTATTTTTAGAAATTATGCATTGAGATTTTAGGAAATATTTCTTAAAGCATGGACTGTGGTTAGGGGTTTAATTTCTCTATTTTACAAAATTGTTAGTGGTATTTCTTTGTAAAGCAATTACTTGGTAATACTGCACATTTCATAGTCAATGTGAATCCTTTTCAAGGCTCTATTCTGTAAATTTGATTTAAAAGATTTATAACATTGACTCAATGACTTCCTTTAGCCAGCTGTCAAGTATTCAGAAATGGGAAGGAACAATGGAGTATGTTACCAGCTAATGTATTTTTTTCTTTCCAGAAATAGAACTTTGACTAAGGGAATGTCACGTTTACAAAAGTAGTGATCAATTGTGGAATGATTTATAGGTCTGGATATTAGTTCTATCATCTACTGACTGTATGAGGTTGAGCAACTTACTTCAATTTCCCTTCTTCAGTTTTTACTCTGTAAGTAGGAGATAATAATACCACCTGCCTCAGGATGGTGATGAGGATTAAACAAACAAATGCAGGTAAAACATTTAGAAACTGTGCCTCATACCTTAAGAGCACTCAGTCAGTATTTGTTGTGGTTACAGTTACTAAAAGAATGCTTCATCTTCCTACTGCAATTCTAATGTCTCCATTTTTAAAAGGAGGTACAGATAGCAGCCATTTACCCATTTATAATAAATTTTGTAACCTAGAACAGGGTCAGGAAACTATGGCCTGTGGGTCAAACCTACCCACTGCCTGCTTTTAAAATAGTTTTATAAATTAACTTCATTGAATACGGCTATATCTATTCATGTGCATATTGTCTGTAGCTGCTTTTGCATTAAGATGGCAGAGTTGAGTAACTGCAATGGAGATCATATTATATGGTCTTTCACGGAAAATGTTTGTCAACTCCTGGTTTAGAATAAAACAAAGTTTTAGTGCTTCTTTGAAAGGTCATCAAATGACAGAGTGGGAGTTTTGAATTTATACCAAAATGCCATTGTTTTCACTCTCTGTTTTTAGTTGTCATGTGGATTCAAACAAGTTCCATTTATTTTCCACAATTCAAGCTCTTCGTTCATAAAAACATGTAAATACACATAAGAGAAGGAGATCATAATTTTTAACTTATATAATTATGGTACATGTTAAGTATAATAACATGGAAAAGAGTATATGGTCAAATTTAAATTTCGAAGCAAATCTGGGGCATTAATCACTGACAGGGTTACCAAATCTATCCCACTCATTCACCTTCTTCATGACAGGATCTTATGACAGGTCTAAACTTGCCTTTCTCAGGCTGGTTCTGGGTCCAGGCTAGCACTGTGGACTTTTGCAGTTATAGTGACAGATAATTTTGTCCCAATTTAGAGCCTTTAGAATAATGAGTTTGGTTTTGGGATGCAAGGACACATGATTAAATAATTATATTCTTTTCTCTCTGAAGGGTCATCATTAAAAAGCAGTGATTTCTAGCCAATGGCATTGAAGCTGCTCACACACAGCTCTACAGTGCCCTTTGCCAGCTGGCCTCATTATATCCTTGATATGCTTGCTCTCCTGCATTTTGTTGTCATCGTGTTCACTTCTTGCCAATTTTGCATTTCTGTCCCAGGGCTTCACACCTTTATGTTTCTCCTCCGTTCTCCTCTGTTGCTGGGCTTCAACTCTTTCTTTTTTGGATAGAATTTTCTCGTGTCTAATTCCACATGTACCATACTTACTGCTTTAATGAAAAAGGAAACGATCCACAGTTGCTTTTCCTTTTCCAAAAACTTAAGATCCTGATCTTTAGTCCTATCCCAGATCAAGCTATGAATATGAAATGCAGTTCTTTCTACAATGTGAAGGGCTTTCCTTTTGGTCTGAAGCACTCTCTTTCCTGTTCTTCTGGATAGTGCACTGTGATTTGTCTATCTTTGCTCTCGGAGTCATATAAAGGAATTCAGTTGTCTTAAAAGCCTGAGGTTTTTAGATGGAGACCACAAAGTTAAAGCCTATGGATAATGTCTGCCCTCTTCTGTGTGACCAATGATGGAAAGAGATGTGGGAACCCACAGGAAGAGTCAGAGCACAGCAGTTTTCAAACATAAAGGTTCTATAACAGCTCTCATATTTGAATTATTTTATCACTGAGAAAGGCAGAGGGTATCTGCTTTTTGGATTTATGGCAAATAAGAAGTTTTCATTCTGTATATGCTTGTTACCAATTATGATTTTGACAGGTTATAAACATATTACATTGTTATTATTTATTATACATATTTGGTTTCACTCTTTCAATGAATGTGGTAAGACAGAGAACACTTGATTAATCATATACAAAGAAAAGTAACTAGAAATATTTAAAATTCTCACTATAAAAGACATTTATAAACATGTATAAATTTTTCTTTAAAAACAAGAAAATGCTATGCTAGATCCCTTTAACTATCTGATCAAACTCCTCAAGCTCAACTTTAGAAAGGAAATAGAGCTTTAAGGTTATAAAGAAAAATCATCAGTATTTTTAGGGCTTTATCACCTCTAAAAGTTTGAAAAGTTTCAATTTAAAAAATTACAGAAAAAAGAAGTTTGCACTGACATAGAATAAAAATTCAAGCTCAAACCACAACTATCTTCCCAACCCCCAAATATCTTCAGTAGCTAAAGCTAATTTGCTACTCTGGCCAAACTGCTAAAAGCAGTGACTGATAAATCTGCCATAAAGAAACAATGAAACCTAGTTCTGTTCCAGTTTTCTCTCTGAGTCATCTGATATGGAAGGATACTCAGTGAATATCAATAAATACTAATTTTGCATAGTGGTTCAGAAAATGGACTTTAGAGTCTTATTACTGGACTTAAAATGCCAATTCTACCATGCATTAAAGGTGACCCTGGATACAGAAGACTTAGCCTTCCTGTGCCTTTGTTGCATATGAAAAATCAGGATCTAAATAGCAGTCCTATGTTGCTATTAGGATTAAATGAGATACATGTATCATACTCAACAACATGAATAAATCTTGTCATTATTTAGTAAATGAAAAAATTCTGAAAGACAATTTATAGCAAGACTATCTTTTTAGAAATTGAAAAATAACTGAAATAAAAATATACTTTCCTATAAAAGGGAAGGAAGAGAATAATCAATATGGGGTTCAGGATTACGATAAACTTAGGGGAAGAAAGCAGTGGATGGAATGGGGATGAAGAACCATATGATTATGTATACATTATTTTTAAAGTTCTAACTTTTTAGAATAGGAGATTCTCTGTGATAATTGTATTATTTTAAAGTAGCTAAATAAAGTGAGATATAAAAGCAGTTTAATGAATAATGACACTGAAAACAAGAATGCTCCACGGTAAAAATACATGTCTTTGAAGAAGAGAATAGAATGGCAAAACCATGTGATGGTCTCTACTGTAGTTTAGAAATAAAACTTCTATGATTATTTTCAGTTACAAAAATGCACTTGGTAAATAATGAATTAGGTGTAGTGACTATTCCCCTAATGGCTAGAGAGTGGTAGTGCAACTTTAGCAAAAGAGTAGAATGCCCCCCACCTCCACCTATCTCCTTCTCTCTTTGCTTCTGAAGTTCTTTCAAATTTTTACTGGGACCTCACTAAAAATAATGTTGTCACTATTCAAAGTCAAAGTATAAAGCTAATGTCCTGTGGAAAAAACAACAAAATTAATGTGGAGCCTTTCATGCTTCTACCTATAGTAATAGCAAGTAACAGCAAATGGTCTATATATAAAACATAAACCATAAGTAGATAGGTTGATCAATAATGGTCGGAACAAACTTCTTGTTGTTTACAATTATGATATAACACTTTTTGGTGGGAAAGGTAAAAAATGACAAATTGTGTGGGTACTAATAGGTTTTAGACTATAAAACCCACTTGTCTTGTCAAGATGTTTGATCTTTTCAGTTTGATCTTGTCGACTAAACAGCAGAAGAGGAGGTTTCCAACCAAGACAACATATAAATGTGTAATGTAGACAATTTATTGGGAAATATTGTGGCCTTACTTTGAGAGTGCCTCTTCCTGGGTTCCACCATGAAGCAAGATGAGCCTGCCTATATGGCAAAAGGAAGGTGAACCACAGGGGACTAAATTCTCTAACAGATTGCTGGGTGGGGTGAGATGAATAAAACCTGATCCTGGAAGGTTTTGAGAAGAAATGGTTGCTTGGTCCCAAGAAGTTCTTTGTTTCTTAGCTGTCCTGTTTCTCTTAATACCTTTCACACTAGAAAGTTTCTAGCCACAAAATTCAAATTCTACAACCCCAAAGCCTCAGGCTGATACCAGCCAGAACACAAATAATTACAACCTTTTCAGGAGGGTTCAAGCAGTATGAACAAGCTAGGACTATATGATTAAACATTCAAATGTTAAACTGCTTTTGAATAGATACTGTGTAAAGAATAGAAACAAACCAGGGGAAATGCTTCTCCATGGACATGAACATGAAAACAGCTGTGTTGCTAAGGAAAGTATTATCCTACAATCGAATATACTATAATGTAGGAACCTCTTTTACTTTATTTCTGCCCTCCATAGTTGACTCTTCCATATGTAAAAATTATGTTTCTTTTTGTCAGCATTAATGGCCTTAAATTAAATCAGGTGCTTTGATCAGACCAATTTATAAAACTATTTTTAGTCAAGTTATTTATAGAACATTTAGGTCTACCTTTCAAAGTCCCCAAATAATCTTTGGGTGTTTGCTGATCTGCTTTTAATTTACCAGAGTCTTCCCTCAATAGGAAATGCATAAAACACACAAGTAGCAGAGACTTTTCTACAATGTGTATTTGATATGCTTGATGTTCATCTTTATACGCATATAGACATTAGCATATAAGAAATGTGGAAGGCATCTATAAATTCAAGGAAACATTTAAGCAAACAGTGATCCATAGATACATGGGCATAATACTTTATGTAGTTGATAAATATTTCATCTCTACCATAAAGAAAGCTTTTTATCAACTTTGATTGTTTTTTTATTACCTTAAAGTATTGCAGTTGTTTCTCAGCATTCATTGTTCCTTCCTTTTCTTGTCTCAGGCAGGAATTGAAGATGAAAAGCTCTGTATCTCTTAGCCACCCTTTCAGTTCTTTGATCCTGACCTCCAGCTGCCTTACCAGGCTTCCGCTTTCAGGAGAAAGCAGGTCACGTGAACCAGACCCACTGTGCCCTGCCATTGTGTCCTGGATCTTCTCTCCTAGGGTTTTCTAATGTATCAGATTCAAAAACAAAAACAAAACAAAACAAAACAAACACCAACAACAAAAACAAAATCATGTATTAGCTCAGGTGCAAAAAAAAAAAAAATCATTAACAAGAGCTACATTGAAGTGTCCAGTAGTACCTTCCACCTCACTACTGATAATTAGTTTAGGCCAGCTTGCTATCCCATTTGGGATTCAAATTCTCAGACAGTGTGCATTTTTCTGACTGCCAGTGGATGCTTAAGAAAACCTCATCCACTTATACCTTCCTTTATAACAGAAAGGAGATTTAGTCCAAAACTTCACTATAGTCATAGATAAAAATTCATTTGAATATTCATGACAAGAATTTATAGTAAAAAGTTCTCTACATATCCTATCCTGTTTAAGAGATAGAAGTCAGAGTTTAATCAATATATGAAAGAGGCCAAGAGTAGATTGTGCAGAGAATTAAGTTCCTTCTATTGTTTTGTGAAGTACAATTTCCCAAACAATATGACAGAGGACATTTAAAAAGAAGTAGACTCCTTGGTGCTGATGTTGATTTTTACTTGACTGGGGAATTGTTCAACCCCACAATTCTTCCCACTTAGCATTTTGCATGCTTAGATGCTATACTGTATGTGTTAAAATAATGCCCAAGTCACTCTGCTAGAAGCCTACTTAGATTAACAACTATGACATGAAGGTGCCTTGGAACTGGTTCTCTTTTCTTTTCTTTCTTTCTTTCTTTCTCCCTCCTTTGGTGGAAAGCACTCTCTTTGTAGAATTAATAGGATTTAATCGATAATGATAAATTAAACCTACAAAAGTAGCTTTAAAACACAAATAAAATTAAATCAACAAACATTCATCTGCTGTGTAGTGTTCTGTAAATAGTATTTTTAGGAGATTGTAACAGAAAAATAGTCTTTCTTGGCAACACCCTTATATTTTCATGGTGCAAATATTGATAATTTGAAGACCCTCAGTGGAATCCAGATTTAGCTATTGTTTTTATGCTGTAACAAAAGTAGCAGCAGGAGGTGAAATCAATGCCCTTGGAGGGTAGGGTCACAAAAAAGAATTTATTGCCACTTTTTTGTTCTGGAACAGTTTGCAATCATAAATTCTTCATAAACAGAATACTTCAGAGAATGGTCCGTCTTCATAAATATACGACAGAGGACATCAATTTCATTTAATTCACAATTTGTGTCAGCACAGCAGATGCCAATGCCTGCCTTGATAGGGTTGTTTAATATGCAATTGAGACAGAGTAATATGCAGCACAGGGGACAAAATTTCACAGATTAAACTGTACGCACCACTGACATTTCATTCTAATGTATTTCCATTCCACACTGTTCACCTTAGATGAAAGTAATATTAAAAACCATATCCCTCTATTTTACTATTGTTAGAAGTTAAAATCCTTGTCTTTAATTTTTTTCATGCCAATTAAAATGTAATCAAGCCAATTAAAAGAGTATGCCTGGGTGGTGTTAGTGTAGCACAGGTTTTGTATTATAAAATCTTTCCTTCATTCTACTCTTCCCCCCAAATCACTGCAAAATGGTGTATTGTATTTGAATGATATTTTTATCAAAAATCACAACCATTTTAAGGCATCTGATCCATAAAAGATAGTTAAACAATCTTTTTTTTTCTCTTCAATATGATGCTGATTTAAAATTTTTGTGGTGGAAGCAATATAAACGACATACTCTGAACAGTTTTCTAAAAAATATTAGTTATGTATCAAATTAGCAAAAGATATATTAAAATGCAATGTCAACAGACTATCAGTTTATTGATGAAGCAAATAAAGTTGCTGTTGTTATCTATTTAATAAACAACCTTTTAAAATGTCATAGACTAACCGCATTTCTCATGTCTGAGATCAGTGAATCCTATAAAATTTAGTAGGTTCTGACTTACATCACCATAAGTGGAAGACATTAATTACTATTAAAAGGCAATGTAACAATAGATTAGAGTAAGAACTTTTAACATTTTAAGTTACTTTGCACAACTGCAGAGTGTAGAGAATTTAGATGAGAACCAAGGACTTAAAGTTGCAGTTTTTTAATCACCTAGATTAAGCCTGACATAAACTCAACGCTGGCATTTCTCCAAGTCATCAAGGTACATGGAATGCTTCTAATTCAAAATATTTTTGGAGTATTATTTCTTCAAAAATAATTTTAAAGAGGCAGAAAAACCGAAGGCATGAAAAATTAGGCTCCATAACTGACACCACCCATACTTAGCTGTTCAAATTAATCATTTAGGTAATTGACAAATTTAGCTTACCCTTGATTTGAAGTGAAGGCAATTTAAGGGAGAAGCTGATGAAAAAAATACAGGTTAACTTCTCTCTCTGCTGTCTTCCAACAAAAGGACAGCACTGTCTCCTGCACAGTGCCACCCTGGTCTCTGGGTAACAGAATCTCTAGATTGCCTTTTTGCCAGATTCTTGCATCTCAGTCTTTGGCTGAGACCCAGCCCATCATTGCGTGAAATGAATTACATGAAACTTTTTTCTTTTCTTTTCTTTTCTTTTCTTTTTTTTGCTTTTGTTAAAAGTGAGCTAGAAATTGAGGCACAAAACAGAGGCTGATTTAATTCTGCATTTCAGATTTGGGTCAAATTTGCATCTTTGTTTTGGTGCTTTAGTGGGACTTGAAAGCTGTAGTGACAACTCCACTTTTCATCTTAAGGGTACAGTAAATAGTTAAACAGTAGATGTCTCTAACATGTACCTTCAGAATAAATTCTATTAACATTCACTCAAGCATGACAGTCAGTGTATATCAGATATACTGTATTATAGTTGACTTGGTGCATACCCATAATACATGGCATATTTTACTTACTTTTTATGTATTAAAGAACCAAAATTATTAAAATCTGAGAGGAGACAAGCTCAGAATTTAAAAAAAAATCAACGGAAGAGGAAAAGCAGTGTTTTCCACATAATAGCATGAATAGCTTGTTTGAAATGTAGGTAGTGAATTGAAAGAGAGAGATATTTGTGCCTCAAATTAGAAATCAGACAGATAGAGTACTTCACTACACAAAAAATGTACACATAACCTACAAACAGTAATAAAAATGCAAATACCCCAAGCAGTTCCCATTTTTCATTAATTGAATCCACTTTTTCAAGGAGATCATTTGGTAGTAAAACGCCACCTTTCTTCAAAGCTTCAACCTTACTAAGTAGCTCCGTCTTTTTCAGGTGCCTGATGGACATTTCCACACTATATCGCTAAAATGAAAAGAAAGAAAGAGATATCATTAGGGAGAGAGGTGTTCTTAGAAAAATCTTTGAGCAGAGTATGTAATACTTATGGGTGTGAAAGTTTTTGTTTCCAATAAAATTTGTAAGGATAATGAACTTAAACTAAGTACCTTGAGTGGTTGAGGAATATTGCTAGAAACAGTTAAAATATATATTATGCACATATACACAAATATCTAATTTATGTATTGAGTTGACAAAGATTTATGTCTTTTTAAATCAAGTTTATATATGCATTTGATATTTAATTGAAAGCATCCCAAACGGGAAAATATCTAGTCTTGTAGGATTTAATATTACAGTTAATTTTGATCAATATTTGGCTCCAGAGTGCTGCCTGTCTCATGTGTCCCCAAAATAAGTCTCAGTGGTTTAAATAAAATTATCAATGAAAATGATGTGACTTCTTTCTTATAAGTTGCCTGAGTTCTCAATTAACATTCTGTTTCCATTTTTCTTTTACTTAAAATCTCTATGTGGGCTTAGGGAAGAGGTTCAAATAGAGAGGAAAAAGATCAATGTTTGAGGAATAATTACAAACTGTACCTCTTTATTGGTCATTGTAAAGTGTTTCCAAAAATTACAGTTGATTACAGAATCCTCTTCCTCAATATACTCCATATTCTACAAACTGTGAAGTGATCTCTCTTAAAAGATTTTTTTGAGGGAAATAATGTAAGAGCTATTTAATGTGACAGTTACTATAGTGATTCTCTTGAAATAACTATACTTGTATAACCTCATAGTTAGAAAGTCTTATGGATAGCTATAAATAACTATGGCTATATTTTTTAAATATATATGTAAAAATACCTTGGAGTAGAAAAATTATATTCTCTTTAAAATATTAAACATACTTTACATTTTTAGAATATTTTAAAAATATAATGGCAATTCCAAAACTTCTTTCTTTGAAACACCAAAGTTAGGTCACTGAGTTCCATGGTAGCACTACTCTTTTTCTCCAATTGAGCAAGGTTGCCCTAAGGTAAGCACCCTTATCAGATCTAATATGAAACATTTTTGTCTGGGCAAAGTAGCATTAATCAGTGAGTTCAAAACATACCCAAGCACTTGGGTAATTTTATTTACCTTGGAAACATGATATTATATAAAATCCTAAACTAAAATACAATTGGAAGCAGCTTAAAGGAAAAGAGGGTATGAAATTACTGTTTCAGTTAATAGATTTTCAGCATTTGCGTGCATATGTTTGCATACTTTTAGTTTCATATTTTAATCTTTCATTTACACTAAACATGCACATCATTTGTATTATGTAAACTTCTCCAAATGTTAGTCATTTGTGGATCACAGAACAAAATGTTTTAAATGAGGTGATTTAAAGCATTTCATATTATTAATGAATGTTGATCAGGATGTCAGAGTATCCAAAATTACATGAATATGCATAGTGAAGAAAATCAAGGGTTGCTTTAGAGCGCTTTCAGAATTTGGCCTGTGATACATGGGAAACTCTGATTGCATTTTCTAATGACAGGCAATTACCAGGACCACGTTACTTTAATATAGAAAACATACTGTCCACTCGAGTTTTGGGGACTCAATACTCAATAAGTATTCTAGAAACCCAGATAGCGATTTATTTGTCAGAATGATAACCGAAGAAGAGGCCAATATGCTTTATGTAATCAGATTCCCATGTAAAGATTTACATAACTAATTTGGTAAGACCTTGACATAATGTTGGGGGAACCAGTATTTCAGGGAGGCAGAAAAGTCCTGTTCAAATCTTTTACTTATGCCACATGTGTTAATTGACAGAGGGAGTCCTCTGGCTATGACACCTGGCAGTGGCCTCTACCATTTATCATTTTTACTTGTGACAACTCATTTCTCTTTAGCCCAACTCTGAATACCTCCTACACAGCAAATTTGTCAAGAAAGAAAACAGTTTAGATGTATCCCACAAAAATCATATTTTTATAGTAATAAAAATATAAAAAGCAAGTAATTGCCAGATGCAGTGAAACATGCCTATAATCCCAGCTCCTTGGGAGGCTGAAGTGGGAGGATCACAAGTTTAAGGCCATTGTATTGTTAATTGAACATTGTATTACATTGGCCATGTATTGTTAACTGGACATAGATTACATTATCTTTAATATAAATCATAATACAAATATTAAAAATGAATTGCAAATTCCCTAATAGGGAAATTTAGAGAGGCCCTGTCTCCAAATAAAAAAGGGCCAGGGATGTATCTAAATGGTAGAGTACCCTGGTTCAATCCCCAGTACCAGAAAAAAAAAAGTAATTAATTTGAAATGGGTTATAAGTAGTTACATCAATATCTTCTAAAATGATTATTATATTTAAAAAATATTATCTTTATGTATGCTCTTGTCCCTATGTAGCCTACTACATAAATAGCCCAATGAAAGAGATAATAGATGGACAATGTCTTCAAACTATAAAATCTAAAAGAATCTAGCTAATGGTTAGATATATTGGTATATGTATAAAAGAATGTCATGTAATTTAAGGTAAAAATATTTATATTTTAATTTATGAAGCACTCTAAATATTGGATTTGATATGATTTAGGGTCTTAAGCTGTATGTGTAATAATACCAGAAGGGTTATATTTTTGTCGACGATAGTATGTTTTTATTCTTCTCTACCATCTTTCCAGAAGCATTAGAGGGGGAGCAATAACAGCCAGCTCTATCTGTCCTCAGTCATGCTATCAAGTAGGGCTACTTTATCCTGTGGTGGAAAGATAATTTAATCTTCATATTCATTCCACCCACAGCAGTAAGTGAGCAGAGGCTGCCCCATTGTGTCCTGTAGTCTGGGGATGTTATGATATAGACTACTCTTCAATAGCCAAAAATGAGATTAGCAAAGTTAAAGTCAGATGGCTTTTTTTGAGTGCTAAGGTAAATAAGCATCCAGTATTTAATTTCCCCATAGCACCTGCTGTGGGCCTCTCTGTCTAGTCAAAAATAAAATATACTCTATTGAAAGGGCATATTTACATTATTAAGTGTATTTGCTTGGCCAATTCAATTTTGACTAATGAATCCTCCTAATAGATTTGTGAATGATCTAAATTAAAGACACAGGACACTACTATCCTAAATGCTAATCCAGTATATATAACTATAAAAAAAATTTTTTTAAAGAGTTAAAAAATAACCAGAAATAGTATTTCACTGGCCTAGCTATGAATTAAAGAAGTTTTTAGGAAATTCTTACTGAAGAGTTTCCTTTTTACAGGCACAAATGATAAACTGAATTATAAAACAAAGCCAGCAAAAACAGGGATTTCTGAAATAAACATACTTAGAAATGCATGCAGACTTGATTGAGATAACTTTTTTGACAGTTATGCTAAAGGCTTTTTTCCCCCCCTCTAAAACCCTTTTTTTTTTTTTTTTGTTAAAAATCACACCGAAAATTCTGCCCAAATGGAGACTGGAACAATGCCTTGAAACAGTGTTAATTGTCACCATGGAAACCAGAAGAATAAGCCATTTTGAAACTGGTATAGAAGGCACACATTGAGCAACTCAAGCATTTTTCTGCCTCCCTCAATGTTAAAGAACAAGATGCCTTGTCACTGTGAGGTCAGAGAAAGAAAGCATCATGAAAGGGTTGTAGATGCTCACTGTCTAGTAAATAAAAAAATAAAAAATAAACTATATACAGCTAATGTATAAGACTCTACCAGTGAATCTTTTTGAAATAGAAAGATCATCAAAAGATGGCCAGGATTGGGGGATGGCTCCCACCTAAGCAAAACTTCAGGGCTATATTATGTGAACCTTGCCCCCAAAGCTCCCTGGGAATTCTGCTGTTGTAATAAAACTTCAGAAGAGGAAAGAAAAAAGGCAGCATGATGGAATTCAAAATAATGCTCTAAAAGCACACAGAGAGATTAAGACATCCATTGTAAGACTTTTGTATGGTGCTTCTGTTGGTTATGCTGAAAAGAGACCAGACATTGCTGAGCAGAGAGTGAAGCTCTGGTTACAAGAAACACAAGAATTAAACCAAATCATTTTCTTGATTATTAGAATAGGACTGTCAAATTCTGTGTCATCAGGGTTCGAGTATTTATATCATGTAATATATTACTTTTAACTGGCTTCATGTGACTTTATATTAGAAGAGTTAAAACAAGGAAAATGATCTATAAAAATATCAAATTTGAATATCTTTCCTGGTGCAATTTAACACTTCAAATACCTGAATGTTTGGCATGATCACCTTTCCCATATACGCATGATAGGCAGATAGATGGAGAAAATACACTGAGAAAATAAAATATCTTAGTCTACTGACAAGACAGCACATGCACAGAACATATGAAACACAAAACTACTGGCAAAATTATGGGTGAAAATGTGCATTTTTTTGCACAAAAATGCAAGGATGTGTCTATGACTCTCACATTGTGTTCTCTGGCTAGTGTTTGCCCTTCTCATTGGAGGCTTCATGGTGGCCCCTCAGCAAGTCCATGCCTAATGCCATTCAGTGATGAACAAAGAGTCTTTTTATATGAAAGTCCAGGGTCCACAGCTCAGCTGTACTGCTAGAGGCCAGTGTTGCCTTTGCAGCAGCTCTTGTGCTGCCTCCTTTTTCTGAAGACCAATGTCCAGCATCTCACAAAGCATGTGATGCTTTACAATGAGTCAGGATCACCAACACTTGGGGAAGATGTTCAAAATTGAAGAAGAGGGTTCAGGCCAAGACAAATAATAGTTGTCATTTCTTACAAACGACTTGTATTTTACCATTAGCATTTATGGCGAATAATTGCACAGAGAAATTATAAAGACTCCTACAATTGTCCTTGTAAATTAATAATAGGCTTTCTTGATTGGGATAAATTTGCTGCTGAGCCTTTGGAAAAATTAAAAAGTGCAATGTCATTTAAAATTGCCAGAACTCGCACAGCAAATTACATCTGAGGTTAAGAATTGAGTTTCCCCCCCTCT